GCGCGATCTACAATGGTATGTAGATGCACTCCCCTCTCCCTCGTTGCTAGATGACTCCATAGATTGATCTTGGTGATGCGTAGAAAATTTTAAAATTCTGCTACGTTCCCCAATAGATACTCTCCCCTCTCGTTGCTATGCATCACCATGATCTTGCGTGTGCGTAGGAAAATTTTGAAATTACTACGTTCCCCATCAAAGAAATGTTTGTGCAAGTGAGAAGAATAAGGTCTCAGTGCCTGAAGATGATGAGTCACTAGTGCTCAGGAAATTGAGACGCAAAATTCCAGATCATGACAATGCTCATCCTGTTGCTGAGAACATGATGTTAAGAAAGGACAAATGTTTGCGTCAGTGGAGATTATCTGATCCTTATTCTATCAGGAGAAGAACTGCTTGTGATTATTGTTTCCACACCAGAGAGCAACAAGATTTTATAAAAATGTGCTTCTTGATAAGAAGCCTATTGTCATTGACATAAAATGGGTGGATTGACAATACATTGATGACAATGAAGACAACTTCCCCATGTTCATGAGAGTTTCAGACTTGCAGGTGTTGATGCTTTTTTTGGGAAGAAGCTTACCTCATGGAATGATGAGACGATAATGCAATTCTATTCAACTGCTCATTTCTTTCCAGATGGAAGGATTGTGCGGATGACTGAGGGAGTGAGATGCCAGTCGACCATCTGTTAGTGGGCAACTCTTCTTGGTGTTCCTGAAGAAGAAGAGCGAGACATTGATGTGTATGCAAAGCCCAAGATGGACCACAACTCGATGAAGGACATGTACAAAGCTATTCCTGAGAAAGATGTTGAGACCCACAAGTTAGGTTCTGTGAAGCATTTGCTACCTGGTTTGGTCACTACAAACACTATTTTGAGGCACACTCTATTGCCCAAACCTGAAGGTGACAAGATGATCCGTGGCCATTCCATCAACTTGTTGCATCTCTTTGACACACCTCAAAAATTCAAGGTAATGACCTTAATTGTTGAAACTATCAAGAGGACAGCTGCAGACCAAAAGAGATCATGTAGTTTTGCTCCGCACATTCAGTTACTTATCAATTCCAAGGTTGGAACAAGCACATATCTTCTTGATCGTGAGCATCTCCCATTGTTGCCAGAATTCAAGGATAACATGGTGGTGATGGACCCATCTCATCCTACTTCTGTTGAGGCACAAGAGAAGATACACACAGTATGCAGCCGTCGCAGCTAAAGCAGCTAAGGAAGCATCTAGTCCATTTACTAATCTCAAGACCAGAAGTGATCAAATGACTTATCTGCTAGAAGCAACCCTGAGGATTGAACGAAGTTTGGCCATCCTCGCCAAGAACCAAGAGAGCTTAGAGCGGATAGTTGAGGCAAAAATTTATGATCTTGATGTAAAGGTCACACATGTCCAGACCATCATGGAGAAGCTGAAGAATGATGTTGTTGCAGCTGCTAAAGCTAGAGAGGATGCAGAGGACAGTGGTGATGACAGGCCTACTACTGACAGATTCCAAACAGTGCCTAGGGTAGCAAGGTCTGCTACTGTGCCTACTGTAGATATGAGGACTACCACTTCAGCCCCTGCTGCTACTCCATCAGTTCCACCGCTAATGTCTACTCGACCAATTCAGCAGACGTCAGCCAAAGCTTTTGCAGATACACTTCTCTCAACACCGTCTACACACAACGGAGCTGCCAACCAGATATCTTCACCTCCAGGAGCTGCCACGGATCGTGCCTAGAGAGACGCATAGCTCTATACCTATCCGAGCCTATTGATACTTGTTGCCAAAGGGGGAGAATTTGTATAGATCATTAGGCTTCGAGAGAGAGTGTGTCTTGCTTTTGCTCATTTGATTTCTTCGAGTTTTTGCTACTACTTGGTTTACGCTACTTTGATTTGCTTGTTTGATTTCTTCGAGCTTTTGCTACTACTTGGTTTATGCTACTTTGATTTGTTGTATGTGTGAGATACTATGTTGGTTGTTTGTGCTTGATCATACAATGCTTCATGTTATGCACACTGCTTATCATATCATTATCTTGTATGATCATTCACTTGTGTTTTTGGTTATGAGTGCTTACTATTCCAATCATATCACTTTGTGCACTCCACCGAGTTGTATGTGACAAGGAAGAGTGACACATGATCCTAATCGATTGTGCATTTTCATTCAAACACAAATTTTTAATAATACACAAATTTAGGGGGAGCTCTTGATTATCACATACTTCTCAAAACGACAATGTATTTCATTCATTTAATCATTTGTCAAAGCTTTGATCTATATGTTGTCAGCAATTACCAAAAAGAGGAGATTGAAAGTGCAACTAATCCCTGGGTGTTTTTGGTAATTAAGAATAACATATATCTCATTGAACTAATATCTATTCAAATTAAAGATTTCAGGAAGTTCAATGATTGGCATGGCAAAGACTAGTGATTGTGGACCCCTCAAAATGCTAAGGACATGGGTTGGCAAAATCTCAAGACTCTACATTTTTTGTTAAGTGATCCAAGATCACATTGAGACCAAAGAAAAACTAATACTATTAAAAGGGGATGAGGTGTTGTTGATGATCTGGTTGCTCAAGTTCTTAGTGATATTGTTCAAAAACCCTAAGCCACTTTCTCTATCCAAATATGTCCTAAACCCGACAATCCATCTCAGTCCCACCGAAACCTACATATCCAGACCCACAGTTCATCTAGACACTGCCACAGCCAAACCTTAACAGATCGGAGTCATCAATATGAATCTCGGTCCTACCGAGATGGTCTTGCCAACTCGTTGTCATCTGTTGCAATTATTTCGATCTTACCGAGTTTTGCAATCGGTGCCACCGAGATAGCTTGCCAACCTTCTGTTGTCTTATTGCTTCACTTCGGTTCTACCGATTTGATGCAATCGGTGGCAACGAAACGAGGTTTGCCTTTATCATTGCACATCGGTCCCTCATAGATGTTTCCAGTTAGTCGCACCGAGACTCCTAAAGTTCATATCTTTTACACAGGTCAGTGCCACCGAGTTGAGTCATGTGTAATGGTTGGATTTTGTGTGGAGGCTATATATACCCCTCCACCCCCTCTTACTTAGCAATAGAGCCATCAGAACGTGTCTACACTTCCACTACTCATTTTCTGAGAGAGAACCACCTACTCATGTGTTGAGATCAAGATATTCCATTCCTACCATTTGAATCTTGATTTCTAGCCTTCTCCAAATTGCTTTCCACTCAAATCTTTCTTCCACCATAGCCAAATCTCCGAGAGGGAGTTGAGAGTTGGAGAGACTATCATTTGAAGCACAAGAGCAAGAAGTTCATCGTCAATCACACCATCTATTACCTTTTGGAGAGTGGTGCCTCGTAGATTGGTTAGGTGTCGCTTGGGAGCCTCCGACATGATGTGGAGTTGAACTAAGAAGTTTGTAAGGACAAGTAGATCGCCTACTTTGTGAAGATCTACCCGAGTGAGGCAAGTCCTTCGTGAACGATGGCCATGGTGAGATTGACAAGGTTGCTTCTTCATGGACCCTTCGTGGGTGGAGCCCTTTGTGGATTCGCGTAGCCGTTACCCTTCGTGGGTTGAAGTCTCCATCAACGTGGACGTACAATAGCACCACCTGTCGGAACCACGCCAAAAATTACCATGTCCCCATTGTGTTTGCCTTCTCCAAACCTCTCCTTTACTTACATGTGCAATGTCTTACTTTTTGCTGCTATACTCTTAGAATTGCGTGTGTAGGTTGATGGTTGACTTGCTAGATTTGCTAAAATCTGTCCACAACTAAAATTGGGAAAATGTCAGATTTTTATTTGGTCAAGTAGTCTAATCACCCCCGTCTAGACTAATTTTGATCATACGGCCACTCTAGCAACCCATCATCTACTTATTACTCCACAATGCCTTCGGTTAGGCCGAAGCATGGTGAAGTGTCGTGTAGTCGATGTTCACATGACATCTCTAAAGAAAGCAACAACATACATATTATCAAAATATTGAAAGAATACCAAATTCACATGTGGTACCCAATGGTTAGATTAAATAGTACACACGATATTCACAATTTTACATTCATCGGTATCACATTTGATCAAAAATAATATTTATCTCAACTCAATAACAGATAGATGAATACATAACAATTATCTTAATTTAAATTGACAATTGGTGACAACTTTAACATAGGTTCACAAGCTCACGACACACTTCACGGGTAAGGTTCACATGTGAGTATAAACGGGTAGGGTATGGGTATATCCATGAGTACAAGCCTTATTGATGATGCGCTGAAGGTGGTAAAATGTGTACACGTACGACTGGTAAAATGTGTTGTGGTCTTTCCAATTATAAAAATAGACACTCTTTTCGTTCACTTTTATAAGACGTTTTGAACAGCTGACACAGAACTATTCTGTGGGCTATCTGAATTGTCTAGACGTCTTATAAAAATAAACAGAGAGAGTACAACATTTACACTCATAAGTGTTTGTACCATGCAATACATTTTACTTACCTTTTGCAAATCTTTTTCTTCCCTTCTAAATGAAGCTTGGTAGTAAGTACTTCCTCCGTTTGTTTTTATAAGACATTTTAGACAGTTTTGCTTTGTACTATTTTAAATAGTGTCTGAAAGTCTAAAACGTCTTATAAAAATGAATAGAGATAGTACTCCCTTCACATTTTGGGACGAAGGAAGTATCTTTTTACAGAAAAAAATGTACAGATCATAAAGCAATTGTATGCCAGTGGCTATTGTGGTTAGTTGCAAGTTCAATCCAGCCATTTAGACCTTATTTGATTGCTCCGTGATCAGCATCTTTTCTTCTAGAAAAACATAACCACTTGTTAATTTACTAGTAGTACATACATCAAAATATTTCGCCTAGAATCCCAAACGTAGCAACAGAAGATCCACATTTTCTGTAACGAATACTACACCATGAATTGGAGTGACGTGGGCAGCGAGAGAAACCTCCAAAGGAGCGTCCTTTTTCACAGGTCGAGGAAGCCGGTGGTACGCCACACGGCGTTGCGCATGCGCCGGAGGTCGCGCCCCTTCAGCGTCCGCCCGGCGCCCTCCATCACCGACGCCGCCGCCGCGGCCCGGCGCGCGGCCATCTCGTGCGGCGGCACCATGAGTTCGTTGTCTTCCTCGTCCTCCTCGTCAGCGGCCTCTTGCTCCGCCTCCCGGCGTCGCCTGTCCGCCGTCGCCTTGGACCAGGCAGGCACGGCCACCGGCGCAGACTGGTGGTACGGCTGCGAGCGCGGCTGCCTCTCCCGTCGGGCCGCGGCCGGGATGGCCGCGCTGGGCGAGCGGCTGTCCTCGTCGGCGATGAGCGACGACAGGCCGGCGCCGCCGGACGGGAAGGCGCGGGAGGAGAGGGGCCACCGGTGGCTCCCCCCGGACGGGGACGGCGTGGGCGAGGGCGACGAGGCGGTGGAGGCCGAGGAGAAGGAGGGGGACGACGACCAGACTACGTCGCGCTCGTCGAGCTCGAGCTCCTGGTCGGCAGCGCCGGCGTCATCCGGCTGCTTGATGAAGCCGAGGAAGCGCAGCGACGGGGACACGGCGGAGGCGCGGCGGTCGCGCATGGACATCGGCGTGCTCGTGCTCGATGGAAGCGTGGGTGCGCGCGTGCGGTGGCCGGCCAGTGGCCACTGACCAACCAGCGTGCGGTGTGTTTCAGCGCTGGGACGCCATGCTCGCGCCCCTATTATTGGCGCGCGGCGTGCCCTCTACTGGTGGTGGTGGTGGCGGCGATCGGCGTCCGGTGCGGGGAGTGAATTATTGGGGCAATGATGATGGCTCCGAGGGGCTGCCCAGGTGTCGGGGGCTTCCCGCGATCGTGTCGTGTGTGTGCCGTGTGCGCCGTGCGGGCGAGAGGGCTGCGGTCTGTGGTGCTCGTGCGACGGCCTGGAACCGGAGATCTGGCGCGGCCTGGGCCAGAAATCCGGAATCCTTTCTCGCCGGGTCGCTGCCCATCAAAAAGAAGCGACCGCGACCGCTACAGGATACGACATTTCCCATCTGTACATACAAATCCATACAGCAACCAACACGTCCTCGGCCATACAGCGAACAAAATGATCGAGGATCGGGCCGCGAGTAAACAACTGGATCTCTTGGGCTCGGGTTTTGGCCGTGTACGCTCCGGTTTATTTGTTGTATAACCGATCCCAGGCTACGTCCGTGTCTACATGCGTACGCACGAATCGCGGCAGGAATTGACAGGGCACCTACCGGTCGCCGTCCCGCCATCACCCGCCCTCCATTGCGGTCAGGGCGAGATGGATGAGAAGGAAAAAAAGAGACGTCACGCTCTCACAGTCTCACCTGATAAAAAATGGTCTGGGCCAGAGGAGGCCAGAGGGGTTCCGTTTCCCTGTCGAGAGTTTGGAGTATACGGAATTGTGTGGAGGTGTATAGCTTACGATCGAAGTGAGTGCGTACGTAAGTACAATGCTTTGTTTTGTCCTAACGCTGTGCCGTCAGATAATCCTATTAAACGTTGCGGTGATGAAAGGTTACTACTGACGTTCCACAAGAAAATTATGCGGTGTCCTACTTTGGCCGGATGTTAATGTGGAGCCTAGTCCAAATCCAAGGCTGATAAGGTAGACTGGTCAGGAAAAATGAGTATTTGACCTTATCAAGTATCAGCTCACATACTGTATTCTACCTGAACCTTACATACCGTAGGCGTGTGTGTGTTCGGTATCCTGACCTCTCGGCCAGGCTGGTAGGAACGGTCAAATCGACCATTTTCACTCGGCCAAGCTCTCCACGTGCAAAGAAGGGGAACGCGACGTCAAGCTCGTCGAGCCGGGAGATGGCACGAGTTCACATGCTTCTTCAAAAAATCGGCGGGGCCAATAATTCGGTCACCTCTCGGCTCTCGCTGATTGCCTTGCCTATTTAGCCCTATTTGCTTCACGGCCTGAACTCCCGCCACCCTCACCCTCGTCGATTTGTCCATGTCGGAAAGATTCTTCATCGACGAGCATGTAAGTGTTTCGCCTTCTTCTTCGACCGACGATGGTTGACGGTGGCTGTGAGGATGTCTCCCAGGAAGCGGGTACTTCAGCATTCTTTATAGAAGTAATGAGGATCATGCTTGATATGTGGTGGAGAACTGCATGCACCAGTCCACTAACTAATATAATAATCCTAGTTACTCGTATTTCAAATTTTTCATGTGGACTAGACTTGGTGAGACCAAGATATGTATCCTAGTACTCGTATTCTAAAAAGCATGTGTGCAACCTTGGTTCGTGCACAGGGTGGAAGAAGCGAAATTATCTCCAAAAATTTTGTCAGTGAATGTACGAAAAAGCTCCTGTATCGCTCCTTTTACGCGGCTTGGGTAGGAACCTTGGCAACCGCCAACAACCCATCTCCTCTCCCCTCCCCTTGTTGTCGTAAGGGGTGTGAGTTTCCCTTCACACTACCTTGCTCGGGTGCACGCACCCCTGTGATGGATGGCACGATGGTCGGCCTCGGATGGTGCTCCAGCGTGTGCAGTGGTTGTTTTGACGACCCATGGACGGTGCTCCAACGTGTGCAGTGGTTGTTGTGGCGACCTAGTGGCTAGGTGGTGTTTTATGCGGCGGGGCCTGGTCAGATATGACCTTCCCTTTTGAGAGGGAACGTCTTTTTTGTGTGATGCTCCAACGCACCACGGTCGATTGATCTAGGTGGTTACAGCCTCGGGCTCACTATGGGGGCCAAACAGGGCTTGACCCAAATCTACGCCACCATGGTGCAGAGCTTGTGGGGTTTATCCAGGTGAAAGCCTTGTCTCTAGTCGTGCCAGAGCCGGCAACGACGACACTCTTGAGCATTGTTCCCTTTCGGATAGTAGCATTAAGGTGATGCTCTCCGTCCTCCACCTTTGTAGCTTTGGGGTAAACCCTAGATTCGTGTGATCGGGCGATGGTGACAACTTTGTGTAGGTATCAAAAGTATGTCTAGAGGGGGGCGTGATTAGACTACTTGACCAAATAAAAATCTAACATTTTCCCAATTTTAGTTGTGGGCAGATTTTAGCAATTAGCACAAGTCAAGCACTCAACCTACACACGCAATTCTAAGAGTATAGCAGTGGAAAATAAAACATTGCATATGAACGTAAAGGAAGGGTTTGGAGAGTGCAAACACAATGAAGGTACGGAGATTTTTGGCGTGGTTCCGATAGGTGGCGCTATCGTACGTCCACGTTGATGGAGACTTCAACCCACGAAGGGTAACGACTGCGCGAGTCCACGAAGGGCTCCACCCACGAAGGGTCCACGAAGAAGCAACTTTCTCTATCCCACCATGGCCATCGCCCACGAAGACTTGCCTCACTCGGGTAGATCTTCACGAAGTAGGCGATCTCCTTGCCCTTACAAACTTCTTGGTTCAACTCCACATCTTGACGAAGGCTCCCAAGCAACACCTAACCAATCTAGGAGACACCACTCTCCAAAAGGTAATAGATGGTGTGTTGATGATGAACTCCTTACTCTTTTGCTTCAAATGATAGTCTCGCCAACACTCAACTCTCTCTCATAGATTTGGAGATGGTGGAAAGATGATTTGAGTGGAAAGCAAGTTGAGGAAGGCTAGAAATCAATATTCTTGTGGTAGGATTGGTATATCTTGAGCTCAACACATGAGTACGTGGTTCTCTCTCAAAAAATCTATGGTGGAAGTGTAGGAACATTCTGATGGCTCTCTCACATATGGAGAAGGGGGTGGAGGGGTATATATAGCCTCCACATAAAATCCAACCGTTACACACATTTGACCAATCTCGATGAGGCCAAACAGTTAAACTCGGTGGCACCGATTAGTTCAAAATGTGAACGTTAGGAATCTTGGTGGGACCGACTGGAACAACTCGATGGGACCGATGTGCTAGGGCTTAGGGCAAACATCATCTCGGTGGCACCGATTGCATCAACTCAGTGAGACCGAAGTGAAGCAATAAGGCAACAGAGAATGTCAAGCCAACTCCGTGAGACAGATCGCATAACTCGGTGAGACCGAAATAAATGCAACAAGTCACAACACATTGGCAAGGCCATCTCGGTGAGACCGAGAACTGTATCGGTGAGACCGAATTGCTAGGGTTTTTGGTGTTGGGGAACGTACTAATTTCAAAAAAAATTCCTACGCACACACAGGATCGTGGTGATGCATAGCAACGAGAGGGGAGAGTATCGTCCACGTACCCTCGTAGACCTAAAGCGGAAGCATTAGCACAACGCGGTTGATGTAGTCGTACGTCTTCACGATCCGAACGATCCAAGTACCGAACGTACGACACCTCCGAGTTCAGCACACGTTCAGCTCGATGACGTCCCGTGAACTCTGATCCAGCAGAGCTTCACCGGAGAGTTCTGTCAGCACGATGGAGTGGTGACGGTGCTGATGTTGCTACCGACGCAGGGCTTCGCCTAAGCACCGCTACGATATGACCGAGGTGGAATATGGTGGAGGGGAGGCACCGCACACGGCTGGAATAGATCAATAGATCAACTTGTGTGTCTAGAGGTGCCCCCCAGCCCCCTTATATAAAGGAGCAAGGGAGGAGAGGCGGTCGGCCAGGGAGGGCGTGCCAAGGGGGGAGTCCCACTCCCACCGGGAGTAGGACTCCTCCTTTCCTAGTAGGAATAGGAGAAGGGGGAAGGAGGAGGTGGAGAGAAGGAAGGAGAGGGAGGCCGCCGCCCCCTTCCCTTGTCCAATTTGGGGGCAAGGGGGGCCGCGCGCCACCTCTTGGCTGCCCTCTCTCTTCCCCACTAAGGCCCAATAGGCCCATTGCTTCCCCGGGGGGGGGGGGGGTTCCGGTAACCCCCGGTACTCCGGTAAAATCCCGATTTCACCCGGAACACTCTCGATATCCAAATATAGGCTTCCAATATATCAATTTTTATGTATCGACCATTTCGAGCCTCCTCGTCATGTCCGTGATCATATCCGGGACTCCAAACTACCTTCGGTACATCAAAACACAAAACTCATAATACCGATCGTCATCTAACTTTAAGCGTGCGGAACCTATGAGTTCGAGAACTATGTAGACATGACCGAGACATGTCTCCAGTCAATAACTAATAGCAGAACCTGGATGCTCATATTGGCTCCTACATATTCTACGAAGATCTTTATCGGTCAAACCGCATAACAACATACATTGTTCCCTTTGTCATTGGTATGTTACTTGCCCGAGATTCGATCGTCGGTATCTTAATGTTGGAAATATGCCCTAGAGGCAATAATAAATTAGTTATTATTATATTTCCTTGTTCATGATAATCGTTTATTATCCATGCTAGAATTGTATTGATAGGAAACTCAGATACATGTGTGGATACATAGACAACACCATGTCCCTAGTAAACCTCTAGTTGACTAGCTCGTTGATCAATAGATGGTTACGGTTTCCTGACCATGGACATTGGATGTCGTTGATAACGGGATCACATCATTAGGAGAATGATGTGATGGACAAGACCCAATCCTAAGCATAGCACTAGATCGTGTAGTTCGTATGCTAAAGCTTTTCTAATGTCAAGTATCATTTCCTTAGACCATGAGATTGTGCAACTCCCGG